GAGAGAGAGAGAGAGAGAGAGAGAGAGAGAGAGAGAGGGAGACTATACTACACCCTGTCAAATTCATCAATTTCATTCAATTAAGCAGCTCCACTCCCTGGTACTTCTCAGACTATTTGTCTTCAACAATGTTCTGTCAAAATGTCAAAAGTGATAAAAAGCATTGTTTCTCAAGATTATCTTCCCAAACAAAAACCGTATGAGGAGTTTGACCTCATGGTGGCACTGTTGCCTCACTGTCAGTATGAATGAGTACAGCAGTAAGATGATGGACAGCACCTCAGTGTCAGGTTTAGTGCAGGGCAGCAATTTTCTTTGATGCTGGAGGCTGACAAACCTGCAGTCTCCTGGAAAAGTTGTTATTCAGCAGCTGCGGCCTCGACATGGAGGAGATGTGCCAGGGATCGAAAAGTGATGAATGGTCTGAAAGGCTTTCATTTGTTTGGAAACAGAATCGCCTCACAAACAAACTGAAGATGCCATAACAGAGGGGAGCAGCACACACTTTGTGAAAACATGTTGCGATAAACAGGAAGAGTGATTATTGATTCTTCATTGCCACACAATTGTTGCCATTACAGGCCTGTGGCAACAACTGCCATCCTACGACCATGTCAGTGCGATTCTTTTCAAAATATGTGCAAACATTTTAAGTTCTGTTTTTACTTTTTTCAAATGTAATTTAAAGGAAAAATTTAATCATTACATTGACTTATAATTACCAAACGGACTCTTCTGAAACATTTAATACCATAATGGATTCAGTAACAACAATGATGGCACAGGTGAACGCTGTTTCTACACCAGCATGACTGTTTCCTTTTGCAGCTTTAACCTAACTGGATCTGCTCCAGCTCTGCCTGCGACCCAACGATAGAGAACAGGAGCGGTCCAAGGATGAGAGCCAGCTATTTATGAGCCAACAGGTGGCAGTGTTGTCACATGAGTACAATCTCTCTACCACTATACCACCAACCAAAGGATGGATTTTATTATATTTTTAAGTATCTTTACCCACAATACTCTTTGATAATGCAGCACTTTCCTGTATTTTTCCCAAATTTGGATTTTTAGTTATTTTGCTCTTAATCTCTTTCATATTTTCTGGATATTTATTAAATACTTTTTGTCAACTTTCTGATATAACTTGGGGAATTCTTTTAGGCAATTTCCATTGACTTTCATGAGTTTTCATTTATTCTGCCAAAGGGTTTTAAAGGTTTTATTCTCATATGCAAAACAAACAAGTGTAATCACTGCAATGAAATTCGCAGTGTCCCTTTACCCGGAGCGGGGATATTAAAAAAGGTTTGTAAGCAAGTCTGGAATTTGTTACGATATTTAACTTCTGGTGAAAAGGTGCCCTTTTCCCCACTTGTGCCCCTGCCCCCCAAAATATTTGTGCACGTCCCTGATCTAAACCTTACGTCAGACTCAAATCTTCTGAAACCCAGATCTGTATTTTCACCCCTCACAAATAAACTCTTGTGTTTTTCGGGAAGCATGTACATAAAACATCTTTCAACACATGGTCCAGCAGGGCACCGTTCTATAGAACAAGATTTAATAGCAGATTCCATTAAAGATTTCTTCAACAATCCCCATTATTTTGAAGGCTCCAGGGGATTCGTTCTAGGATAAATAATAACACATGACAAACTGCAGGCTGTGTTTCCACTATAAAGAGCAACATTATTGCAGCAAGCCGGAAAATCTGTGCAGGCCTCCCAGTGCTGAATGAAATGATAAATGAAGCTCATCAAAGTTGATTATGGGAAGTGGTTTTCGTGAA